GGTGATGGGATCGAGGTGAAAGGCTTATCTTTCCTCACTGCCTGAAGGCTCTGCTCTTAAAAAACTGATGGGATACAGAAATTTGGAACCAACATAAACTTATCCGGAACAAAGAAGGTTTTGTTCACTTATTAGTTTCAAAGTAAGTGTTTTTGACCCAAAATATACACTAAGTCTGAAAGTCGCCAGTGTTCATGGATTGTGCTGGAGTGACTTTAGCTGGGGGGAACCCTGGGCACTGAGGTCAATACTGACTGAAAGGTCTGAGGTTTCAGTTGACCAGCATGCCACGGGACAAAGATGTGGCAACCTGCTCCCATCATGATGATTACAACTTTGACACTGGCATCCGGGAGGCTGGGAGGCGCCATCTAAAGGACAACTGTTGATCTCTCTCAGTCCTAAGTAAAGTGCAGATGGATGGAAGCAACAGCCCAATAGACTGACGGAGCAAGCAAGCATCAGTCTGCACAACCCTGAGTTCAGAAGATCTAGATGGTACCCCACCACCCCTGTGAACTGCTCTGAAAAGGATTGCCATGGGGAGTTCTGGAGAACGTGGAAGGAAAATGTGGAGCAGAACTCAGAATCATCAAGGGGACCAGGCCTGCTTGGACCAGGTAGAATGAAGACCAGTGAAACCCCTGACACTGTGGCCCTGACCCACCCACCCTTCAGGTATGGAGTTGACTCACCCCTATCGCTCAATTTTCATCCAGAAAATAGGTCTATAAAGGGCAGAGCCACACTAGGGAGGTGCACACTCTTTACAACAATCAACCATCTGGGACCCAGGAGACAGTGTTTGCCCGGGAACAGAGGGTTATGAAGGAGGGAGAAGTGTCAGGGGACATCACAGAAAGGAAGCAATGGCACACGGGAGAGAGAGAATTCGATGACTAAATAAGATGTATGAATTGCTCCATGGACAACTCATCTGCTTTGTCAAGCTTCACCCAATGCATGATAAACAGCTTTTGGGAAACAAACAAAAAACCAAAGTCTCACCACTGCAGTTATCGGGTCAGTATGAGCCAGACTAGACTTGGTGGGACACAACAACCACAGAAGTTTGTTTTGTGAGAATGCTCTCTAAAAAGTTCACTTTGCATTTCAGTAGCTAGACCCTTTTCCTTGGGGACTAGGATCTAAAATAAGTGAAAATGTGAAATGGTGTAAGACCAATTTTTCTGGTTCAAAAGAGGGTAGTAAGAAACAAACCCAGATGCAAGGGACTTGGGAGAAGAGCCCAGCGCACTTCCTCTCTGGCTGACTCGTCCTACAGTCATGGTGAACACAGCAAACGCTCACATGTGTCACATTCGTGGTGGGGCAAAAGTCAAACAGTGTGAGTGGAAGACTGGTTACGAGATGAGGAAGTGCAAGCTAAGGTCAGCTGCTTTTTCACAGCTGCCTGACTGAGCAAAGAGGGAGTGGCTGATCAATTATAAACAGCGAGGAGCATGCAGCAAACCTGCATAACCGACCAACTACGGCACAAGGCATCAGAGCATGCAACAAACTCCATCAGTGACTCACCGCGAACAACTGAAATCTAGTTCTCCTCTGACAAATATTTTTAAAAGAAGTAGCCGCAGTTCCTAAATTTTGAGCATGTGGGCTTTTTTCCCCATTAATGTTTAACATGAACAAATTTAGCATTCCTTTGTTGCAAAACTCTTAGAGGGTATGTCTACGCATACCTCCTATGTGTCATTTTAAAACTAATAGGAACATAAAATCATGAATAACAAGTTCACTAACATCAAAATGTATAGTTGATAAATGTTTTCCAAAGATGTAGTAAGTTCCAAAATGGCCAAATCTAGCCCTGTTCTGTATTCTTTTCTAACTGCACTAAATACAGTAGGATTTATATAAATCATACTGTAAAAGGTTGATAGTTTTCTTCATGAGTGTGTTAGTCCAGGTAGACTAGAGAGAAAAATTCATGTAGGTGCATTATGTGTGTAAGAAATAGCTTTATATAAAAGAGCAGTTGTATATGGAGAAAACATCCTAGCGCAGTCCAGATCAAGTTCATAAGTCTGATATTAGCCCATATATCTGATACCAGTCTATAAATACCTCTTCAGACTCACACAACACATAAAATGACGCCGAATGCAGGAAGATCACAGGCCAGTGGGTGGAAAGTCTTGAGGATCCAGTGGCGGTGGAAGCTTTTCAGTGCTGGCAGTGGTCTCCACGTGGCTCCTCCAGTTCCAGGGCTCTGGCTCTTATTAGCATAGCTCCATGTGGCTTGTCATCGGGAATGTCTCACAGGAAGAGTGTCTGTCCCACCCCCAGAGAACTATTTATCTCCATAGTGCCTCTACATGAGGTCCTCCATCAAGCTGTGACCTGACTGACAGGCTAAACTACACCCCTTCACTCATAATGGTCTCAAGTTGACACCAGATTATATAACTACCACAACAAGCAAAGTGATGTAAAATATTATTTTTTAAATCTAATACCTCAAATAGAGGAAATGATATTGTCACATCTAGGCATTATTTACTACAGTCTAAAATCCTATGAAACAGTAAGTGCTTCTGAAGAATATAACATATCACATTAATAACACTGACTGATTAATTTAAAAAACTGTCATCCCTCAAACATGATCATGATTCAGGATTTAAGTCATATGCATAACCTTAGTTCTGGTCAGGTGGTTTGATTTAGGTGACAGCTGTAGGTGTTTAACTTTCATTTATCACCCCTGGGTAATCAAACAAATGTAAAGAAAAATGCGCCGCTTCCTCTGTAGCTTTCAATACAGATGTTGAAAATTAGCTTAACACCTTTTATTAAGTGGTATTGTACAGAAATTTCTATTTTCATATCCTTCTTTGTGAACTAATACAGCCTCCAAAATCCATTCCCAGAACTATGACCATTTAGAAAACTTTGGCCACAGACCATCTGGCTAAAGGTCAGTAACATAAGCAAAGACCATGTGGCTCTTCTGTAGGTAGGGGGCCAGTGCTTAATTCGTATTAAGATATTCCTGCCAGATTTTGTAACTTTCTACAATAAAAATAACAAAGCACAAGCTCTTTCACAAAAAACAAACACTCCAAATGGTTCCTTAAACAGGGTGGAGAAGAGGACCTGAAAGTAGTTTAAGATGATTAACTGTAGTAAATAAAGATCGTTCCCTACTGGAGAGGTGAATGTCCTTGAGTCTTGCTATCCTTATTCTGTAAGCCTGGATTTGGAGGTCATATGCCCATGGACAAATATTACCTATGAGAAAAGCCACTAGCACGGCAACCCATCCACCTTAACTCATTATGGAAATTCAATCAATATTCATTGTACAAAATTTTATTCTAATGAATAATGTGTTTTCAGTACATCCTAAGTCAGACAAAACAGTAGGCATCACCAATTCTGTGGGGTACAGATTCTGGATCCACAAGCAAATCACTCTGCTATGGGAACTTTCCATTATATATTCTATCAAGTTATTGCAGGAAAAGAAAATGAACTGAAAATGAATAATAACAAACCCAGATCCTAGCCTACATCACTTGTATGAATGCAAGAGGTTCTCTCCAGGGTCCTAAAGCTTTCTCTCCTTGTGTGAAACTGAGATAAGCAATAGTGGCCATTTCCCAGCCTTGACTGTGTGGCAGATGAGACTGGATCATAGTCAGCTAAGGTCAGAACCAGATGTAAAAAATAACTGAGGAAGCCAAGACTCCGAGAGGATAATCATTTGCCTAAGATAACGAGCAAATCTGAGGAGGCAAAAGGTTCTTGAAAGAAAAAATCCATTATCTTTTAATCCAATTTTTCCACAATGAAAAAAATGTTGGAGCCCCCTTATAGTTGAAAAGCTGAATTGGAAGCTATTTAGGTTAATCAAATGATTTATTTAAACTGTAAAATAAGTTCATTCTATTACATACATAAAAGGTTAACACTTTCAAGTAATGTCAGTGGTGAATTATATGATCAGTGGGAAACGTCCCTGTTCTAAACACCAGACAGGGCCCGTGGTTGCCACGCTTTGTTGGACATGACCCAATAGGAGTTGGAATTGGCTAGATGGTGCCTAAGAGCAACAAAAACCAGTTGCGATTAAGTTGATCCCAACTCTTAAGAAGCCACCCAATGTAATAAACTCTACAATAATTGAAATATGTGAAATAACATGACATTGTGGATTCTGATGAGAAGGGAATCAAAAAGTTAGTGAAAAATTAAATGAAAAGATCATGGAATTTTCCCAAGAACTTTTTGAAATCTCCTCATACTGAGAAATGTAGATATATCCATAAAGTCTCGGGGTGGTGTAAACCATTAACACATTTAGCTGTTAATTGGAAGGTTGGAGCCTTAAATTCACCAACTTTCTTCTGGGAAGAAAGTTCTAGCAATCTATTTCTGAAAAATCAACAATTGAAAGCCTCTGTGGAATATAGGTCAATTCTGACACATATGTGATTGCCATGAGTTGAAAATCAACTTGATGACAACCTGTTGACGTGTGTGTGTGTGTGTGTGTGTGTGTGTGTGTGTGTGTGTGTGTGAAATAAGTTTACATTTTCTTCTACAATCCTCAGGAAGCCGTTCAGAGCCTGTTCTGTGTCCATTTTAAATTCCAGAGCCTATAAACCTTAGAGTTAAAGAGTCTTCAAAAATCTTTGATTGTTGGGGGAATCAATTTCCCCCTCAAGCTATGTCCCCCAACACACAATTAAATACAAAAATAATTAGAGGAAGTTCTGTTCAGAGAGAGGAGGAAATAAATTTAAAATCATTCAATTTCTGTTCAATGGGAGGAAGAACTAAATCATTACCCTATTCTAAACTTATCAAAGAAAATAAAAACTTTGAAGTCAAATTTGATGTAGCATCTAAACTCTTGCCAATTATTCACACAGTATGTGTACATCTATCATCAGCATGGACCTTTTCCTACTGTGCAGAAAACCATGATCTTCAATGACATCTTTAGAAATCTAAGAAGTATGCAAACTTACAGTTCCCAGGTCAATGATGAAGCAATCGCCCTTGTTGAAGCTGTTCCAGCTCAGGGGAACTTCCGTGGCCCTGACCACCCTCCGCCCCTTCACGTGGAGGAGCCTCTGAGCTGACAGGTCATTTGTGAGAACATGGTTTAGTCCAGATGCCACACCTCCAGCCTGTTCAATGGGAAGAAGCAAAACAAAACAAAGAGAAAACAGATGAAGCTTCTCACTGGACAGAGCAAAATATAAAACCCCACAGTTCTTAGTGCAAAGTCTGTGCTTTATCAGGCCACAGTAACTCTCCTGTGTGCGGTAGAAAAGTTAAGTACAATGAAGAGAAAATTCCACAATCTTCAACAGGTTGATTGATGTGGGGTTTTCGTTTTTCTTTTGGTCACCTTGATTCTTCTCCTGCCTATTTTAACAATTCTGTTTAACCCTGTAAGTAGTGTATAAAGCCTTGTTGCATAAACAAAAAGAAAGCACCTTAGTTTGTGCCCTTTGGAAATTACTGTAGTGACTTAATGAGAAGACATAGGAGGATATCAGGAAACAAACGTGAAAGGAGGTCGAAGGAGAGTGGGAGACCACAAATACAGCTGAAGAGAGGCCAGAGAACAAGGCAGCCCATTTATTCCTATTGTCAGTGTTCAAATAGAAGCAGGGAACTGAGTGCTGGCCAGGTATGGGCTGCTTCTGTTTATGAATCTTGTTTTTATACTAAAGAATCAGCCATCCTCTTTATTTCCTGACAATCAGTGTTTACTAAATACAGTAGGTCTGAGTATGTCTATTCTAAGTTGGAGAGACATAGTATATTAGTTGTATATCATTAATGAAACTAAAACTAGACTAAACAAAATAAATGAACCACATCAAATAACAAAAGGGCTTAAGAAAAGTCAGTGTATCAACTATTTTTTCTTACATGATTTGCAGTCTCATTTTTTCATTTAATGTTAGTGTCTATCATCTTTATTTCCACAATTCATTGTGAAATGATGTGCATCATTTGCTATCACAGGTGCACAAAAGAAGTTACCTGCTGTACTGCTTGATGTGATTGAACAATGGAATGCTATGATATCTGTCTTAGCTCCCAATAAAATGAAGTTACGTATTGCATTATATGAGTTCCTATATCAGACAAAAAGTAATTACTCGGTGACTATTATGTGAATTAACCCTGTAGTCCTCAAGCTTTTCCTCCTTTCATGAGGCGGAATGCAAGCAAGACAAGCAAGAGGGGGGTTGCGGGTAGTTCTCTAAATAGAGCATCATAAATACAGGCTTGCAGACAGATGACTGGTAGTCACTAACTACAGTCATGACTGGGGGTAGTAGTATTTTGAGCTTGGAAAGGGTAGGATTAGTCAGAGATTTAGTTTAAGGGAAATGTAATAATCCTCTATAATCTAGTCCCTCTTTGGGCACCACCCCATAAAAAGAAACTTAGATAAATATAATACAAATCAATCAAATGATACCAGAAAATTATCTTAATGCTTATAGTCCATAGAGTTCTCAATGAATTGACAATGGTAGACTTTGTCAAGTAATTACTGTCTGTTCCAAAGAGATACAGTATCTGTTTGTTTACAGTAATTTTAAACTAGGCATGCATTCCAAGATGGGAACCATCTAGTTACGTTGATTACATCATATAATGATGGCAAACTCAGGCACTAGATTCAGTTGTCCACCCACTCACATACCAGCCATGAGACCTTGGCAAATTACACAGTCTCTCAAAGCCTCAGTTTGATTATTTATACTATGGTGGTAATGAAATTTACATCCCAAACATGTTGTTTGGATTAAATGACATATGTGAACTTCAAGCTAATGACGGGATGAAATTAAGTAGAAGATAGTAGTCTTTGCTTTGGGGGGAGGTGAATTTTCTCGGCCTCCACACGTCCTTTTGCTGCAACTGCACAATCATATGCTCAGTGCCTCTGATGATAAGATAGAGATTTGATCTTTTTGCTGATAAATTTGACTTTTACTCACACACATCATTGTTCTGCAAATGCTGATTTGTGGTGGTTGTAACATGTTGACAACTGATAAGTAATAGATATCCAATCATTGCAAAAACTACTTTTAGAATGCCCACTTTCAAACACATGTCCAGAAATTTGATTTCAGTAGTCCTGCTCATAGTTTGTGAGGTGAAGAATAACAAAAGGTCTCTATTGATTTGAAACTTGTAAAATACTATGTATGTATTTTTACCATTCAACGTACTATTCCATGCGTACAGCATCAGTATAAAGCAGCTGTTATTGTATCTATAATATATTTGAGGGAAATGAGCACAGGGAGCTTAAGCACTTGCTCAAAGTCAAACAAGTGATGTGTGATAAGATGGATTCATGATCGAGGTGATGCCAAACCACACAGAAGACCCAGCTTCCTGAAGCTGTTGGAAGTTTTAGGATCATCAAATATAGGAGCTAATATGATTAAAATAAAATGAGAGCATATATAAGGTGGTTCATAGTTAAGAACAAAAAATTAATTTCAAAAGAGATAAGAGAAGGAAATGTATTTTGCCCTCATCTCAATTAAATCACAAAATATTCAAGCAAGGCACTGAATATTCCATGTTTATGCATATTTGGGTATGTGTCATATATATATTTAGGATGAAGGAATTATAAATTAAAACTCTGCTCCAGTATTGGAACAGCCAACTCTGGTCTCTATTCCACTCAGGCAAGTTTGAGACACCTCGTGAACTTTACAGATCTGTTCCTGGACGCACCTCATGTCACCAGTGAGCTGCGGCACAATGGCCCTCAGCAGTCTCATTGCATAGGTCAGCTCCCATGCCATCTCATGCCAGTCTCTTACTTTTGTTGCTACCGTTTCTTTGTTACTGATTCTCACCACCTCTAGTGTTCAGCTCTCCTCACTTCCTTCTGAGCCCTCACTAATGGTCTTTACGTCCATAATTGTACCAGCAGTCTCTTTAAGGCAATCTTTTACTATTTTAAAAACTCACTACTATTAAGTCTATTCTGACTCAGAGGCCCTACAGGACAAGGAAGAACTATTCCTGTGGGTTTGGGAGACTACCAATCTTTATGGGAGTAGAAAGCCTCGTCGTCCTTCTCCTGCAGAGTGCTGATGGTTTCAAACTGCTGACATTATAGGTAGCAGCCCGAATAACACTGTGCCACCCTGGCTCCTAGCTTTACTGTTCCAGGAACTACCTAATTCTAAAGCCATGTCTATGTTTTAGGCATCTCCTAGAACACCCCATTCCTGATATCCAGTTCTGTTTCTGTCATCTAGTGCTGCTTTAACAGAGATACCATAGTTGTCTGGCACTAACAAATGGAAATTTGTTATCTCACAGTTTATTGCTGTTGTTATCTGTATTGAGTTGATCCCAACTTACAGCAACCTTATGGGCCACAGAACAAAACTGGACCCATTCCTACACTATCCTCACCACAGTGGATATGTTTGAACTCCTAGTGAAGCAGTCACTGTGTCAGCCCATCTCACTGAGAGTGTTCGCTCTTCACGGACCCTCAGGCACCCCGGAGGACTGCTCCCTCCTGGTAACGTGTTCAAAGTACATGAGATGAAGACTCACCGTCCTTCCTCACTCTAAGACACCTTCCTCACTCTAAGACACCTTCCAGCTGTACTTCCGAGGCAGATTTGTTTTTTCTTCTAGCAGGCCATGATCTACCCAATATTCTTTGGCAATAATATCATTACACTCTATCAACTCTTGTTCAGTTTGCCTCATTCACTGACTGTCATGTGTACACGAGGTCACTGAAAATGCCATGGCTTGGGGATGCTCCTCTTACTCTTCAAAATAAAGGCTGGGCCCTGGAACACTTTAAAGAGGTCTTTTGCAACAGATGAGTTGCAAAGCATCCTTCGATTTCTTGATTGTTGCTTCCATGGACATGAAATGAAATCCTGACACTTTCAATCTTTTCTCTGTTTATCCTGATGCTGTTTATTGCTCGCTTGGTGAGGAATTTTGTCTTCTTCACATCTCACAACTACAAACATTAGAAGTCTGGATTCAGGGCACCAGCTATCAGAGAAAACTTTCACTAGCATCTCTAGGGAAAGGTTCTTAGCTCCTTTTAACATCAGGGGGACTGGTACTCCTTGGAGATTTCCATGTGTCCCAGCATCAATCAGCATCTAGGTCTAGGAGATTCTCAGCACAGGGAACCCTTCAGTCCAAAGGACCCACTCTGCTCTTGACCATGCTTTTGTAGAGGTACTGAAGGCCCTCTTTCTCTGCACCATGATTTTTCTTTGTATCTCTTCTAACATAATAGATGAAAGCCTCCCTAAAACCTAAGCCCATTGTCATTGAGTAGATTCCAACTCATAGGGACCTTACCAGACAGTAGAAATGCCCCCTAAAGTTTCTGAGACCATAAATCTTCGTAGGAGCAGGCAGCCGCATCTTTCTCCCTTGAATTGGCTGCTACACTTGGCTTTGGCATCCCAATGTTTAACCCTGGGACCAGCAGGGTTCACTCCAGGGAAACCCACCTTAGGTCTGTGACCTAAAAAAAGGTGTTACAGCCCACCCCAGGTCATTTACAACTAATGAGTTTATCACATCAGATCACAGCATGAGGAAAGCATATTTCATTATGTAACTACCAAATTACATCATAACTGCCAAACCACTGAGAATCATGGCCCAGACAAATTGGCACATATTTTGAAAGGACACAATTCAATCCATAACAGGTGATATGCTGCAAGAGTATAGTGGTGGGGTGTGCAGAAAACCTGTTGAGGGTCTTCTTGTATCCATATGTTTCTGAAATGTTTGTCTGCAATGGGTCTCCTGTGCCATTTAACAGAATACTAATAGTGGAGATGGTGGATGGAGGATTTAGAAGGGTTACTGGCTACTTCCCAGGACCCTGGACACTTTTACACATGGGACCGAATGCATTGAGCATGTTAAAATGTTAGTCTTTTATTTAGTCATCTATTTAATTCCTTGAATAATATTTGTTTCTTAGATTCACACAATTGATGATAAATATTCTTTACTAAGCTATATATACTGTGGAAGAAAAAAGAAAGCTACTTTAACTATATTAATAATAATTTAGTAATTATTAAAGTAAACTTATGAAATATTAAAAGAGCATTCTTGAAAAGGCATAACTAAAAGCACTGAACTTTATTTAAAACAAAACCCAATCAGAGAAAAAGCCCTACCTTTAACATATTTTCGGTGTATGAAAACAGAGGTTAAAAAGGAACCTTGTTTGAGAGTGGTGTTTACCTTGTATTTCAGACCTCCTTTGAAATAGCCAACAAAATCAGTAGACTCATAGCCTTGAAGTTCTCTATTCTGTACTGGTTTGCCACCCAAATAGTCGTCCATTTGAACCGTGAAGATGGCAGCTGCGGTACTTTCGTCTTGGGTACACTCCTTCCCTGAAACAGCAAGTGCAGGACCTCTGTCAGCAAGCACACAAGTAGCTTACAGCAGAACTTCTAATATCAAAGAAATCAGACTATCTCTTTGAGTTGTATATCGGTACAAAAAAATAATCTTTTCCAGGAAGAAATTTCAGCAGAAACAGGGAAATAACAACATTATAAAGCAACATTGTGCCAATAGTTACTACAAATTAATTGGTTTTTTCCTTGCTTTTTTATAACCCCTCAGAAAAGTTTTTAAAGACCGCTGTCTAAATATGCTGAAGATGTAGTGCCACATTCCAACAGAAATCAGATAATTTGGTGCAGCCAATAAGATCAGATGAGGAATTTGTTTAGTCTTTCCTGATGCTAATCGTGAGGCTTCTAATATGTTAATATTTGGGTTACAATGAATGAATGGTTTAAGCAAATTGTAGAGCCTACAGACACAGAACATTACTCAGCACTAAAAAGAATGAACTATTGAAACATGAAACAACTCGGATGCTCTCCAGCAAATTAATTTGAGGGATGAAAGTCAAAGTCAAAAGACTGCATAGTAGCCATACCAGGAGGGTAAAGGTAAGGTGGGGGAGAAAAGGGGAACCGATCACAATGATCTACATATAACCCCCTCCCTGGGGGACAGACA